GTTATTTCCTTTAACCAGGAAATTAACGTTCTTAGAATTGACAAGATGGTTGACCCTGAGTGGTCAGCTAAATATCTACAGTGGATCTAAAATATGAATAGTTAATTATAACTAGTTATGGTTAATTATTCATATTTCCCCATGAGCTGATCCGCTACAACCTGATCAAAAGTTACTGCGAACCTGATAGTACTACTACTAACAACAACAGAACACATTACATAATTGTTGTTATTAAATGAAATATCTGGACATTTAACACCTATTTGATAACATTACAGATTTGGTGTATGAGACAGCAGGTTAACTGGGTAGCTGTATTTTGTGCGAACGATATAAATCATAATGTGATTTTGTTTGTAATCAGGTGCTAAAAAAAGAATACACATTAACAGTCTTGGGCAGTAACACATTACTTAGTAACGCGCTACTGTTATAGGATTTAATTTTAAGTAACGGAGTAATTTAATGTGTAATATATTTAAAAAATAGTAATTATAGGCTATACTATATCGATCTATACTTACAGACTTCAACTTGGTTAGTGGAGAGTGCGAAGATTAACGGTCCATACATCGCAAGACCCTGAATATCTTTGTGAACACAAGCACAGACAGAACAAACCAGCAGGAAGCAGTACTACCATCTTTCTCCTTATATTCTGAATACAGAATAAGAACATACACAAGCAAGGCCATATCGCCAAGTGCCTCCCCTACACATCTCTCTCCATGACGGTGACAGCCACACTTTTTATAACAAGGCAGTAAATGAACCAAACCCACCCGAACTAACTTGAACATAAACACAAATAACATTGCTAACACAAAAACTCAACCATCTTGCTTAAGTAACACATAAATAAACTCTAAACAAATACCCATAATGCACCTGGCTGCTAGCGCTCATGGCCGGGTCATTACAATACCAAACCATGCACGCAGCAACCGCTTGCTTTAGTTAAAATAACAGTGTTCTGTGAATGTTGATGCTTTAATAACGAATACTTATCGGGAGTGTGTATGCTGGGATTTCATAAATTTAATGGAGATTAAAGTAACAGTAACTAGTAATGTAACAAATTGCTAATTACTTTTGAAATAAAGTAATCAGAACAGTAACATGATTACTTTAACATTACAGATTGAGCAACTTTGGTGTATGAGACAGCAGGCTAACCGGGTAGCTGTATTTTGTGTGAACGATATAAATCATAATGTGATTTTGTTTGTGATCAGGTGCTAAAAAAAGAATACACATTAACAGTGTTGGGCAGTAACACATTACTTAGTAACGCGTTACTGTTATAGGATTTCATTTTAAGTAATGGAATAATTTAATGCGTAATATATTTAAAAAAAATTGTAATTTTAGGCTATACTATATCAATCTATACTTACACTTCAATTTGGTTAGTGGAGAGCGCGAACATTAACGTTCCATACATCGCAAGACCCTGAATATCTTTGTGAACACAAGCACAGACAGAACAAACCAGCAGGAAGCAGTACTACCATCTTTCTCCTTATATTCTGAATACAGAATAAGAACATACATTGGCAAGGCCATATCACCAAGTGCCTCCCCTACACATCTCTCTCCATGACGGTGACAGCCACACTTTTTATAACAAGGCAGTAAATGAACCAAACCCACCCGAACTAACTTGAACATAAACACAAATAACATAGCTAACACAAAAACTCAACCATCTTGCTTAAGTAACACATAAATAAACTCTAAACAAATACCCATAATGCACCTGGCTGCTAGCGCTCATGGCCGGGTCATTACAATACCAAACCATGCACGCAGCAACCGCTTGCTTTAGTTAAAATAACAGTGTTCTGTGAATGTTGATGCTTTAATAACGAATACTTATCGGGAGTGTGTATGCTGGGATTTCATAAATTTAATGGAGATTAAAGTAACAGTAACTAGTAATGTAACAAATTGCTAATTACTTTTGAAATAAAGTAATCAGAACAGTAACATGATTACTTTTAAAAGGAGTAATCCATAATCAGTAATTTAATAAAATTTTCAGAGTAACTTGCCCAACACTGCCCATTAAAATGTCTTTATATCAAGGACCCGATCATGGAACAATGCACAGTTCAAGCGCAGCGTTGAGCTTCTTGAGTCTGTTCAGTAAAGAGCGTTTTGATTG